TTGTGTCAGTGAGTTACATCCTCTTTCGCATATATCTTTCTGATATTGATAAGGTGTGTCTTCCGTTTTTTCGTCTGTTTGTATCGTTAAAGAAAACTCTTTCTAAGCACTAAGCTCAGGTTTGATTGATTTTTCTCTGTTGTTTTCCATTTCATTGTCTAATCTTGGTTATTTTCTTCCTTTTTCTTTCTTTAGATTTAACTTCTCTTTGTCTAGTTTCTTAAAGTGGAAGCTTAAGTAGCTGATTGGGGGTCTTTCTTTTCTCATATAAAAATTTTAAGCTGTAAATTTATCTCTGAGCACTACTTTAGTTGCATCCCACAACTTTCTGTATGTTTTAAACAGTTTTTGTTTTCGTTCACTTCAAAATATGTTAATTTTCTGTGAGACTTCCTCCTTGACCCATGGGTCAATTAGAAGTGTATTAATTTATAAATACTCTGCATTCTCCAGGTAAGTTTGTGCTACTGATTTCTAGTATAATTTCTCTATGGCTTGAGATCACACTTGATATGATTTCTGTTCTTTTATGTTTGTAAAGATGTGGCTTATAGCCCAGAATGTGGTCTGTCTTGGTGAACACTTCATGTGCATTTGAGAATAATGTGAATTCAGCTGTTTTGTAGTGTATTGTGCCCTTGGGTTGTGAGGGTGTGGTTTTCACAAGTGGTATTTCCTCTCTTCTAGCTGTGACTTTGGGCTACCGTGTGTTCCTGCCTCTTTTCTTGTTCCTGTGCTGCCTTTTCTTCCTTCTTTGCTTCCCCTACCTGCCATGAATTGCCACCAGTGCCTTAAAGCAACGGATTTGTTAGAGTAGATAGGAATGTGGTTCTGGGTGGAATTTTGGCTGTGGCTGCTGATACCATCACCCAGAATGTCCTATGAATGGAACTTTCTCAGGATTTTTGCTGTGAGCTCTTGGTTTGGCTCATGGAGGAAAATTTTGCAAGACGGGACAAATCCTTTATTTCTGTGGGAAGAAAAATCCTTTATTTCACAGGGAAGAGTGTTCCAGGTTTTTTTGGCTTGAGTAGGGTTGATGCCGTCAGCAAGGTTTTCTGTTCTGTTAGACAACCGTTCTCTCAGACCTTTGGGTAAAAGAAACAGGCTTTTCTTGGAGCTCTTCTGTCTCTGCCTTTTATTGTCTTTGGATTGCAGGCTTCTCCAGCACCCCATATGGGATATATGAGAAGCAGAAAGAAAAGCCTTGGAATTCTCTGCCATGTCATTTCTTAAGTCCCAAAGTCCACTTTTCCATTTTGTAGCATCTTCATTTGTTAATTTTTCTTTTCTTTGGTCCAGAGATTTTTAATGGTAAGAGGGAGGGACCTAGAAAGATGGAGCTGCTCCATCTTGGCCAGCACTGGAAATAATACCTGTTTTTTTTAAACAACATAGATGAGGAGAGAGAGTATCTGTCTTTCTGTCTGTGTGCATGAAGTATTAATCTTTGGAAACAGGCAAAAGATACGGCTCTAAGCACCTCTTCATAAGTAATGTGAGTCATAGGATGTTTTCAATTTCTCTCATTTTAGGATTTTACCAAGTCGATGTCCACGTTGAGGGGAACCAGGAAAAACAAGAGAAACCTCTGTGGCAAGTACTATTCATGGATAACAAAACATTGAGTAAAGAAGTACAGAAAGTTTTAGAAAAACCATTTAATCTGGATTCAACTGCAGATTTTTCGGGAACAATGCCCTATAAATGTGACTCTAGTAGAATGAATTTGCCGGTTGTTTCTGAATTAATTATTAATGATAGAAACTATTCAAGAAAGAAAGCTGATTACCTGAATGTATGTGAAAAGTTGCAGGTTGATGTTAAGCAGGAGAAAACTCATAGTGGAGAGAAGTCTTATGAATGTAATAAAAATGTGAAAGCTCTCAGTTATGAGAAAGATCATCAGAAATTTCAAACTCTGGAGCAATCTTTTGAATGTAATGAATTTGGGAAAGTTTTACATGATAAGACTGTCGGTGTTACAGCTAAGAGTTCTCTAACAGGAGAGGAATCCTGTAAGAATTTTGAATTTAGGAAAAACTTTGATAAAGCAACTCTATTTAACCACATGAGAAATGGCACAAGGGAAAAGTGCTTTAGTCTTAATGAAGATGGGAAACCCTGTGACAAAACCACCATTGTGGAATACAGTCAAGTTTGCATGGCTATGACACGCTATGAATGTCATGAAAGTGGGAATAACTTCAACAGGAATTCACCCCTCACTCAACCTCAGAGAACTGTTATAGGACAGGTTGCTTTTGAAAGCGGTAAATCTGAAGAAAACTTGAGCCAGAGCTCAGCCCATGTAGTACATCAGAAGACACAAACTGGAGATAAATTCTGTGTTTATAATGAATGTACAAATGCCTTCTATCAGAAATTAGACCTTACAGTACATCAGAGAACTCACACAGAAGAGAAATTCTACCAGTGTGGTAAATATGGGAAATCCTTCCATCAAAACTCAGCCCTCGATGTACTTCAGCCAAGTGACACAGGAGAGAAGTCATTTGAATATAGTGAATGTAGGAAATTCTTTTACCAGAAAGCACACCTCATTCAGCATCAAAAGATCCAGTCAGGGGAGAAACGTTATGAATGTGAGGAATGTGGGGAATCCTTTTGTCCCAATTCACATTCTATTCATTATCCTGGAACTCATATGGGGGTCAATGTCTGTGAATGTAGTGAATGTGGGAAAACTTTCTGTCAGAAATCAAACCTCAGTGAATATCTGTCAGCTCATACAAAAGAGAAACCTAGTGATAACAACGGACGTGGGAAATCTTACAAGAAGTCTTCCCTCACCATACACCAGAGAACACACAGAGATAGGAAACCCTTTCAAGGTAATGAATATGGGAAAACATTCTCCAAGATGGCACATCTCACAAAATATCAGAGAATTCACACAGGGGAGAAGCTGTATGAATGTATCGAATGTGGGAAAACTTTCTCCAAGACATCGCATCTCAGAGCACATCAGAGAATTCACACAGGCAAAACAGCCTATGAATGTATTGAGTGTAGGAAAACTTTCTCTCACAAGACTCACCTCCTTGCACATCAGAGAATTCATACAGGGGAGAAACCTTGTGAATGTAATGAATGTGGGAAAACTTTTGCTGATAATTCAACCCTCAGAGCACATCAGAGAACTCACACAGGGGAGAAACCCTACGAGTGTAATGATTGTGGGAAGTCTTTTGCCCATATATCTGTTCTCAGAGGACATCAGAGAATTCACACGGGGGAGAAACCTTACGAATGTTATGACTGTGGGAGATCTTTTGCCCATCATTCAGCTCTCAGAGCACATCAGAGAGTTCACACAGGTGAGAAACCCTATGAATGTAATGACTGTGAGAAAACTTTTGCCCATAATTCAGCTCTCAGAGTACATCAGAGAGTTCACACAGGGGAGAAACCATATGAATGTAACGTGTGTGAGAAAACCTTTGCCCATAATTCAGCCCTCAGAGCGCATCAGAAAATTCACACCGGGGAGAAACTCTATCAATGTAATGAATGTGGGAAAACTTTTTCCCAGAAGACACACCTCAGTACACATGAGAGGATTCACACAGGGGAGAAGCCCTATGAGTGTACTGAATGTGGGAAAACCTTCTCCCAGAAATCATACCTCAGTGGTCATGAGAGAATTCACAAAGCGGAAAAACCTTATGAATGTAACGAATGTGGGAAAACCTTCGTTTATAAGGCAGCCCTCATAGTCCATCAGAGAATTCACACAGGAGAGAAACCATATGAATGTAACGAATGTGGGAAAACTTTCTCCCAAAGGACACACCTCAGTGCACATCAGCGAACTCACACAGGGGAGAAACCTTATGAATGTAATGAATGTGCGAAAACTTTTGCTGATAATTCAGCCCTCAGGGCACATCAGAGAATTCACACAGGGGAGAAACCCTATGAATGTAATGAATGTGGGAAAACTTTCACCAAGACATCACACCTCAGAGCACATCTGAGGACTCGTGCAGGGGAGAAACCCTATGAATGTAATGAATGTGGGAAAACTTTCTCCCAGAAGTCATATGTTAGTGCACATCAGAGAATTCACACAGGGGAGAAACCCTATGAGTGTAATGTATGTGGGAAATCTTTTGCCCATAATTCCACCCTCAGAGTACATCAGAGGATTCATACAGGTGTAAAATCCTATGAATGTAATGAATGTGGGAAAACTTTCTCCCAGAAGTCACACCTTAGTGCACATCAGAGAATTCACACAGGGGAGAAACCCTATGAGTGTAATGAATGTGGGAAATCTTTTGCCCAAAATTCAACTCTGAGAGTCCACCAAAGAATTCACACAGGGGAAAAGCCCTATGAATGTAACGACTGTGGGAAAACTTTTGTCCGTAAGGCAGCTCTTAGAGTACATCACACCAGAATGCACACCAGAGAGAAAACCCTTGCATGTAATGAATTTGGAAAGTCCTAAAGGAACTCATATGTTATTAGGTAACACACAGGGGAGAAGCTCGTGTCACGTAGACCTGCAGATTATTTCCCTTAACTAATTCCTTTTCCACTAGGCACATAGCTTGCCTAAGTTTCCCAGTCTGTCCTTCATCCAGGTGCGGCTGGTCATGGAATATGACACTACTACATTTAAGCTAAGTCTGGACTTAAAAAGTCACCTTAGATTCTTCCTGTCCTGTGTTATACTGGAATGGAGAGACTTCCATGCAGACTTGGGTGCTGTGTGTTGAAGATGGTAGAGCACAAGGTGAAAGAGACTAGAATCTGAATAACTGGGTGAAACAGAATTCTCCACTAACATCTTCACCAGTTGGCTTTTTGTTTTTTTAGGCAAGGATTAAGTTTGGCTGTGTTGAGCTCTTACAGATTTTGGTCTATTGATTAAATGCAATAGCTTAGCCAATTCTCTGTTAGAGTAGGATGAAACACTGAATATAATGAATGTCAGAAGACCACCAAGAATTCAACCTGTCGTTGTACATCAGAGACTCCACATGAGGAGGAAGAAAACTTCTGTCAATATCTTGAATGATCAGCCTTCATCAAAAATCAGAGAAATCTCAGGGAAAAACACAAAAGCCTTGTACTGCAAAGTGAACTTCATTAAACATGAAATAATTAAAACTAGACTAAAATCTTATATTTTGATAAGTGAAACTTTTTACAGATACGTTTGTGTGTTGTCTAACAATGGTATACGTTCTAAGAAATGGGTTGTTAGGCGATGTTGTCGTGTGAACATCATAGAGTACTTACACAGACGTAGGTGGTGTAGCCTACTACACATCTGGGCTGTATGGTACTAGTCTTACGGGACCACCGTCGCATGTGTGGTCTGGCATTGACTGAAACGTTATGTGGCTTGTGACTGTACTGAGTTTGCTTCAGAGAACGTTTTTCTGAGGAAATAAATCAGTTTCTGAATTGAAGATCAAATCTTCGCCTAGAACTGATGTGCCAAAACTTGTGTTTTCCATGTAATACCAAGTTTTATAGAATATAAAGAAGAAAATATTTACCTCTACACAAACTGACTGTGGAATGTGAAGTTTTAAAGATGGAGGAGTAACTTGAATTCTTTGGACAGTACCAATAAATGTTTGTGACTAGTATCTGAGCTATGTGGTACATCTGTCTGAGTCTCTGTAGCAGAGAATTTGTTATTACTGGTGAGTTCCAGTAGAAGGCAGTAGCCAAACCTGCTCTGGACCTCTCCACTTTCCTTTTCTGTGTGACAGTCTGTGTCCTTCTGTTGGCTTCCCTCAGCTTGATGCTGTGATTTTGGCCTGCCTGCTATGTCTGAATATTAGTCTGGTCCAGTTGTTCTAGGTCCTTGGAAATCTGTGAGATTTCTCAAGCATTCTTGTGTGTATGTGTCTGCGTGTGTCGTGTATGTGTGTTTGGTGGATGTTGATTTTTGGAAGCTTTTTTGGCCTTCATTTTATGCCACTCTAGTGGTTCATTTTGCACTGAGTAATTATAAAGCAAATCCTCCCCTCAGCCATCTTGTATGCATGTAGCCTGAGGATCCTGTCTGGGATCTTTTTTACACCCGTGATGCTTGCTCACGCTGCAGTGTTGCAAACCAGTGTTGTTTCTGCCCTGCTTGGGCAGCAGGCTTTGGAATTGGGGTGAGAAATCAGGGCTACTTTCATGTCAGAAGCACTGCATTGGTACTGAAAAGCAGACTCACTTTTTGGGAGACTATGTAGTATACATAGTATAGTCTTAGCCAGGAACATATTTGATCAGTCTGCCATCATTTCAGGCTACATGGTTTGGTCAGCACAGAGAAGAAAGTAAATGAAACCCTCATTTTTAAAACCTGAAACACTAAAAATTTCTCTGAATCCTGGGCATGTTGCTGTCTGCAAGTGTAAGCTGGTATATTGAGCATGAGGACAAGTCAGGTGGTTCTCAGGTTAAGTTTTCTATTCCCTATCCTCTGTTGATACCATGTGAGGGAAAATGATGGTATATCTTGAGCATTAATTGGAGAATAGGTATTTCTTCAACACTGGGTTATCACTTAACTTAGTGGCATCACTGCCAGAGAAAGGAGCCAGGAGTAAGAGCCCACCATTGGATGAGGGCTTATCATCGCACCACCGGAGATGGATCAACACTCCTTGTGGCGGAAAAGTTCCAGCAGCGGAGAGAATATGTTTGCCCCTCCTCAGTTTCTGACACCCTGATGCAACTAGAGCTTATTGCACAGTGCCAAAAGGGAAATGAAAGTCAAGAGATCTCTTTCTACATGCTTGATTTTTCAGAAAACTATAGATGAAAAGGAAACTATCTAACTTGGAGTGCTTCCCAAAAAGAATTTAAAACTAACTTCAGTTTAGAATAGTTTTAGATTTCAAGAAAAGTTACCACCATAGTTCGTATATACCCCTCACTCAGTTCCCCGTATTAACATCTTATATTGCTCTGGTTCATTTGTCATAACTAACTAACATTGATACATTACTAACTAAACACATCATTTTTTAGATTTCACTAGTGTTTCCCTGCTGTTTTTGTATTCCAAGATGTCATCTAGGATACCACATGGCATTTAATTGTTATGTCCCCTTAGCTTCCACTGGTCTGTGACCATTTCTCAGACCTTCCATGTGTTTGATTACCTTAACAGTTTTGAGGAGTGCTTGTTGAGTATTTTGTAGAATATCCCTCAGTTTGGGTTTCTGATACCTTTTTTTATGATTGTGCTGGTGTTACGGGTTTTTTATAGGAAAACCACAGAGATGAGATGCCATTTTCATCACATCAGTAGTATGTACTGTCAACATGAGTGATCACTGATAATGCCAAGCTTGATCACCTGGTCGAGGTGGTGTCCCTCAACTGAAAAGCACGTGTAGCAAGCACCGTGCTGGCTACTTGGTAAATATTTCTTTTATAAATTATTAATCTATCAAATTGTGCATAAAATAAGATCAGAATCCTTTTTATATGTTTTGATTTCAATGTTGGAAATAATAGAAATGCAGATAGGTTAAAAGTCATAGCACCCAGAATTTAAAAAGAGCCTCAAGCTGATCCTGTTGACAGTCCACATTTTTGGTTTTTAGTGTTTGTTGGAATAAGAATGAATCATTGCTCTCTTCTTTGCTCCCCAGGAATTAACTTCAGGATTTTATGTATCTTCATATCTCATTCTGAGAGTGGTGACCAACTCTTCTATACCTCTTAATCCCTGGCATTTGGACTTTGAGTAATGAAAGGACTGAAAGAAAGTTTGTCTGCATTTCATGAGCCCGTCAACCCAGAGATTATTATATTAACTCAGGTACCAACAGGAGATAGGAAGAATGACCGGCGGGTTTAACTAAGAAATGTATGACGATAGCAGAAATAAGTCAGAATTGAGAGCAAGGTGGGTTATCAAAAGCCAAATGCCTGTATGGGGTATTTTAAAAGCATTGATAAATTGTGTGGTGCTAGTAAGAATAGTTAAAAAGGAATGGGTGTGTTATCATCAGACAGAAAGTTAAGTTTAGACATATAGGTTATAGGCAGGTGACATAATGAGAAATATATATAAAAGATGTAGGAGCACATGGTCACTCCCAGGTGGTAGCTTAGTAGCCAAACTGGAAGGGTTATAGAGAAGCAAGAGTTACTGTTGAAGCAAGAACATGTGGGCATATGTTATTGCACATGTACAATGCATATTGTCATCAGACAGTGTAGATGAAAATCTAACAGGAACTCCTACAGAAGTAACACCTCTGGGAGAGAAATATATCGATCGGAGTACATGTGGAGAACACGTATGTTAACGGGCAACATGCTCTCAAGACAGGCGTATACCTCTGGTAGAAGATGATAACCCAGCAGCACAGGTAGAATGTAATCGTATCGCTACTGAGAAAGCAGAAGCAAGACTCTATTGTTAGACTGCTCAGGAAACCAGAGGAGATTCTTGGTGGCCAGAGTGCAGGTGGCTCCAAGAGAAGTAGGTCAGAAACCAACAAGCACTGAGAAAGTCATTAGCACAGAAAATAAGGGAAGGGCCAAAAGAGACCACTGAATAAACTGAACTTGAGAAAAAGAACTAGATTATACATGCCTCATGGATAGATAACTCGCAAGAAAGAGAAAAAGGGTACGCATTGAGAAATAGCCGAAAGGCCGAAAACGACAGAACTGCCACGTTACCAAAAAATGTGGTGCACTAAACAGTGACGGTTAAACAGGGTTGAATGGCTAAAGAAGACTCACAGGACCCAAAATGACAATGCTTATAAATCTACAATTTATTAAGGGAAAAGGGTGCAATATAGCAACAGTATAAAGTAAGGATTTGCCTCACAGCCAGGGGTCTGGATAAGAGGCAGGCATGAGCTCCCATTTTCCTCCATGGTATGGACACAATTTCACTGTCAGAGAAGAACTTACGTGTGCACAGAACACCTCAGAAGCGTAAAATGGATTCACTGCTGGGGTTTTTTATACCCTGCTGGGCATGTAGGCATGTTCTTGCTGTGTAACCAGCCCCAACAACAAAGGACTCTGAGGGTCTCAGTGAGAACAGGTGCCAGTCATCAATTGCACTGTTAGCAATAAACGCTGCTGATAAGCTGTTAAAAGCTGCCCCCAAAACCTTTTGGACCCGTGGCTACAAGACAACACTATTAATCAATATATTTCATTCCTTGACCAATGATGTGCAGGATACTTCAGCTCAGGTCTGTTCCAGGTCTGCTGGACTTAACCCTCACAGCAAAGTCCAGCCCCCCTGATTTTTGGTGAAAGCCTTTGACAAAAAAAATCATCACTCTTAGTTTGACAGCAGTCATTTGCCTTTCAGCAGCTTGCAATCAAATAGAGAATCAAAATGCACATACAGACTTCAAAGAGTTGTAATAACAATGGCTCTCCAGAGATATATGGCTATCCCATCCACTAGGCAACCACACATTTGCATTGTCGGGCCCAATTTGGTGAAATACAGGGAGAAGATTATCCATCCCATTAATCCCTTTGGAATTCTTGCAGTGAGTCAAAGTAGGAGACATAGTCTCTGGTTTTGGAATGTTTCCAGAGTCTTGGACCTTAATTTTAGCCCCATTGTAGAGACTTTCAGATCTGGCATTAAAAAAGAAATTGTTGTGAAGTAGGGATGAGTTGTTTGTAAATTGGAATGCATGTAAATTGGAAAAGAAGTAAAATTGTCTACAGATGACATGAGAGAGAAAATCTGATAGAATCTATGAAAAAGCTATTAAAAACTAAGCAGCTGCTATTTATTCTTAATAAGCAAATAAAGCTACTAGTACTAATAAGTAAACTAATCAAGGTTGAAGGATACAGGATGAATATACTGAGTGTCTTCCTATATACTAGCAACAAACAACTGGAAATTGAATTTAAAAATTACAGTTTACAATAGCACCAAAAACTGTCAAATATCTAGGGAATATGTAAGATCTTTCTACTGAGAACTGTAGAACAATGCTGTGAGTAATTAAAGAAGACCTAAATAAGTTGAGATAAACCATGTTCATTGGTCAGAAGACTCCATCTTGTTAAGATATCAAATCTCCCAAATTATGTTATTATATGTATTGTATACATTCAGTCCCATCCAATTAATGTATTATATACTTTTAACCCCATCCTTTCAAAAGCCCAAGTGATCCTTTTATGCAGATTGACAAGTTGATACTAAAATTTGTATAGAAATGCGAAGGACCTAGAATGGTCAAAACTACTTTGAAATGTGAATGAAATGAAATGAAATGTAAAGTTAGAGAATTA